AGTAAAGAACACTATGATCTGATTCAGGCTTCAAGAAAAGCTGATTTTTCACTTTAACATCTGATTTTCTCTTATGATCATGAATAGGTCATTTTACATTAACAGATTGGCAGAAATTATCACTCGTATAGTTTTGTTTAATAACAACACTACTTAACAATGCTGATAGATTGAGGAACAATTGATTGAATAAGCTGAGTTCATCATAATTCATGCTCTTTGTCTTAATATATTTTCTTATTTAAGCATTTGGAAATTGGACTTGCATTTCATTTCTCAGCAAATTGTAGCCTTGGATTTAATAAGATCAATGTTTATTAATACCAATAATTAATTAGGTCTAATTGATTTTATGTTGAGTTGTTTCCTTAAGTATATAGTGAGTTTGCATTGACTTAAAGACAGTATGTGCTTTTGATGAATTTGAATTAAAGCAATTGTTTTAATATAGATGCAATATTGACAAGTGTATATACATTAATATTTGCTATTCTCTCTGTATAGGATTAATATTATTGCCTGCTTATTCTTTTCTGCAATACATATTTTCCTTCCTTATTGACCTGTATTTTCATTAATTGTATAGTGGCTGTGCAGATGAGTTCCTGTTTACTTACAAGTGTTGATCAATAAGTACATAGCCTAATATGGGTTATGTGATTAATTTTGATTTGAAATTTTCACTGTATAGTGTTCAAATTATATGATAATATTAGCCACTGAATTAAGTGTATTGACAAAGGAGATTGTTGAAAAATAGTTGTATAAAAATTACTTTTTATCTTCATTAAGCCCTGGATTGATGTATTGTCAATGTATATAATGTAAAACTTTTTTTAAATGTTAATATTTTTTATTGTAAGATACAAATTCTATCATCAATTTGACTAAAAGATTAAAAAAATGCAATGTCCATCTGGTTGTATGAAGACTGTTGATGTTATCTTGTGAAAGATGTGTGTGTGTGTGTGTGTACACATACAAAGGGTGTACTGAAAACGGTCTTGGTCTGACCCACTTGCCAAAATCAGTATCTCAATGTCCAAATATCAGATTATTGATTTTTGGGAAGTAGATTAGACTGATAATTTTTCAACATTATAAAATACCTTATTTAATGACATATGAAATGCCCCCTCATAAAAATAGCACACACAGTGTTTCCTGGGTTTTATATATGAAGTTGCAGTATCTGATAAACAGTTTACCCTAGCATCACTAACTACCTATATTTGTAACTAACCTCTCCATTGTACTGTAATATTAAATGCAAATAGCTGGAGAGGTGGATCTTACCTGTTCTCAAATGCTGTGGCTGTGATATTTAGGCAACTGTTAATAGTACTGAAACCTAAACACTCATTGTGTTCAAAATATTGAGTAAAAGAGAATAGAATCAGTTTATATATCATAAATGATCTCTGCTAATTTCAATATGAATAATATCTGAAATTGCTGGTATTACTGCTTTAATTTCATTATGTTCCACATCTAGGGTTGGACTTGATTATATTTAATGATTTTTTTTTAATTATATTTAAAATATTACAATAACAACTTGGGATTTTTATTCAAGGTGTTAATATAAATATTTTTTTAGCAATGTAATTTCAATATTAAAATTAAGCTTCTTGGTATATCTTGTAACAGAAGGGTGATCTCCCTTGACTTGCTTGTAACTCTTTTTCTGTAGATTGACAAAGCATTAGGTATTTTTTGTTTGCATTTACTCAAATTTTTATTGGTTTTAAATATTAATACCATCAGTATATAAAAATTTTAAAAATGGTTTGTTATATAAAAATATAGATAATCAGTAAGTTCTAATCACTATTCAAAATGGTCAATGATCATTGAAATGTTTGTATGCCATCTTTACTTTTCTTATTCCTGCAAATAAACATTTTTATCCTCTTTACTCATATTCAAACATAAGGGAATATTATATTTGTATGGAAACTGGAAGTTTTAAGTAAATTTACATTTTTTATTACTTCAGTATTTGAGTTTGGATATGAACAAAAAATATTTTCCTCCCTAGTTCTTTCTTTTTTTTTTTTTTTTTTAATCATTTTCTCCCATGCAAGGCAATAAACCCACTAAGATGCAAGGGGGTTACTGAGTGTGAGAGAATATGAGAATAAGAAAACCTTATTAAGGAGAGAGGACAATAAGAGAACAGGAATTAAAAAGACAGAAGGTAACAATTGACATTACATTAAGATTTTTGCAGATAAAAGTTAACTGGAAAGCAAAAACTGGAAGTGTTTCACAAGTGAGAAGTGTGAGAGAAGGAATTGTTAGAATAGGAATTTATAGTTACATCTAGCCATTTCACCTGTAAAATGATGAGGCCTTGTTGCCAATCTAGTACTGCATTTAAATTCATAAAGTCTAGATACTAAAGAGGAAAGCTCATCAGAAGAATTACCATGAAAATATAGGGAAGCTACATTACAACAGTGGGAAAATGACTGAAGCTGAAATGCCAGGTCAAGATCAATAACATTGCAGATTCTTATTTGTATTTTATCAAGAATCTAAATATGTAACAGAAGCACCAGATCAGATGTGGCGGCAATATTTAATGCATGCATGAATGGTAGACTTAGAAAGGTATAAGAGAGATTCTGATGAAAGAAATTGTCTAGCATGACACAGTAAACCAACTTTCCTAGCAGTAGACATATCAATTGATTCAATATAATCTTTCCATTTCATATCAGTGGAAAACATTAGCATTGAAGATGCAATAAGTCACTCTTCTGGAGGTTAGCAACAGCCGTACAGATGGAAGGCAAAATGTTCTCTCAGATGATTAAAAGAAAGCAGTTTTGTTTTGGAGGCATTAAAATTAACAAACCATTTCTTGCCCCACTTAACAGACTGTAGGTCATTTTTAAGATCAGCTCCCAATTTGATCATATCAAGCTGATTAGACTTACCATTAAGACAGGAGTAAATAGTTGTCATCAGCATAGATACCAAGTTGAGAATTGGTGCCATCAGGAATTCTGTTGATGAAAATTAGGAACAACATAAGTCCAAAGATAGAGCCTTGGGGACACCTGTATTAATGCAAAAAGATCTAGAAGAGTGACTGTTCAAGACCACTTTCATTTAGTGATTTGATAAGAAAGAATGAATCTGATCAAAAATTCAACCAAAAATACCATAACTTCTCAATTGATGAAGAAGACCAGTATGCCAAACTCTGCTTTGTCAAAGGCCTTTGAGATATCCAAAGCAACAGCTAGCTTCATCATTCTTATCTAAAGCTTGATAGACTATTTCAGCTATAACTGTTAATACATCAGCAGTTGATCTAGTGCAGAGAAAGGTATATTGCTTGTCTGAAAGAAGACCTTGCAAGGTGAGATGCTTAATCAATTCAAAGTTGATTAGAGCCTATCGTACATTACCAAAAAGGGGTAGGGGGCTGACAGAAGGATCAGATGTTTTGCCTACGTTTTTAAATACTGGAACTACAGAAGAAGATTTCCAACAAGCAAGACAGCATGAAGCACTAAGGCACTTATTGTAGAGTTTAGAGAGAACAGGATCCAATTCAGGTGCACATTTCTTAAGGACTATTGCAGGGATACCATGAAGTCTACATGCTTTGTGGGGATCCAGTTTAGAGATGATAGTAGAAACCATGACTAGAGTTATATGCATATCACACAACAGAGACTCAATTCTAAGTGGAAAGTCAGGTAAAAATACTCCAGATGAGTCAAGAGTAGAGTTGGAAGAGAATTTATGAGCAAAACATTCTGCTTTATCTGCACAAGATGTTAATATCTCAAATTGAGTGAAGAGAGGAGGGATAGAAGACTTTTATTTAACAAACTATTATAGTGCTGCCAGTAGTCACAAGAACCAAACTTGTTAGAGACTATATGATTCTCATTCTCTCAGGTAATCCTGCTTATAATACTATTATGAATAATAATATAACCAAAAGAGCATTCAGTTTTGGCATTTTTTCATTAAATATACACATTTACTATTAAGAGATGAAAATAATTACTTATTACATATTATCAAATTACAAGTAATCTTTGAATTGATATTTGTACCATGATAGAAATTATATTTTTGTTATTTCAAATTAAGACCGTTTTTTTCCATAGTTAAGGCAAAGTTTGGTTTAAGCCCAGTTCTTATGTATGTCTAAAGTAAATCTTTTGTACATTCTGTTCTTCCTTTTAACTTTACAATAAACAAAATTGTTCTTGATATCTGCTTAGCAGTAAGCTCCAAGTTATTATGGTTTCTCTCTCTCTCTCTCATTTGGTATTTTTATAAAAAGGTATATAATCTTGCTGTTGACATTTTTTAAAAATTATTTTACAAAGAAAAACTTGGAATGTGTACATAATTTTGAATGAATCAGTTTTTTTTTTCTGGTTGCTGGTATCTGTGCAGAAATTAATGTACGTTGAAAATTGTTTTCAAATGCCCTATGTCAGATTACAAAAGATTTATTGATTAAAACATTACAAACTCTAGAGCAATATTTATATACAATAATCTAAAAATTAGGATTAATAACAATTAAAATCAGAGAATTTATTTCCTATAATTTAATTCTTGTTCAACATTTCTATTTCATTTTCCTGTCAATCTTCATTGAAATTTAATTGAATTTAGGCTGTATTTAGATTTTTAGTTTTGAGTAGTTCAGTCATTGGACTGGAAATATATTAAGGAAAGATTTATAGTACATAAGCAAAGCAGATTAATTTTAAGTTACTAAATTTGTAAAAAATTCTTTTCAGTTTTGAAGATTTTTATTCAACTGTTGGAGAAAAAGTATACTGTAGTTTGAATTTTTTTTTTTTTTTTTTTTCATATATAGACCACTCCTTACATATATATTTTTATCTATTGACTATGAAGTTATTTCTTTTGTATGTATTTACTTTTATTCATTTGATCCTTAGGTAGAGCCACGTAACACCATTGCTCGGCCGCTGTGATCCAGGTCTGTCACCATGGAAGACACAGTGAGTCGCAGCTCTGTGGAATCGTCATCTACTGGAGAGGACTTTGTCATGGTCAATGGAGATCCCAAACTGAAGATCACTGGAGATATCAATGATATCAATGAAGAGATCACAGATGACAGTTCTATAGATTTCAAAATGGCTTCCACACCTGTGTCACCTGACATGTCAGATAGCTGTACCTCCAATCAACCAGACCATGTGATCCCATCCAGTCAGTCTGTTGATGTTCTTAACACCCACAAAGTGAGCAATATGAACAGCAGCATGGATGAATCCAAATCGGGAATACCAGGTGAGTATCTTATTAGAATCAGTTTGATTTTTTTTTTTTTTTTTTTTTTCTCTTGCATCTAAACTTTTATTTAATATTTTTTATGAAATTCTGTTAAAGATTGGTTGTATCTTAGAACTTTTCATCATCATTTGAATTTTTAGAATTTTATTAGAAATAAGTTTGTGAGTATAATAAACAATGAAATAATTAACAATAAGTGAAAATAGCCACATGTTTAAGACATTGATTTGTAAAGTAGATGAAGACAAAACATTTAATGCTATTAAAAGAAGTCCTGCTAGAGAAAATATTGTTCATATTGTTAAAATCATTCAAATTACCTCATTTTGCCTATTAAAGAAGCACATCTTAGTTAAAACTGAGTTATTCAACTCTGCTGTTTTATTCATCAAATGACACTGGTAGAAGTTTTGTTAGTGTTTTTGCTATTACTTAACTTTTTATCTTACCTTGCTTTAAAAGAAATAATTGTTGGCTTTATTCTTTGAATAACTGATGTCTTTAAAGCTGAATATAGTGGAGAATGACATTGTTTTACAAATTAATTTTGCCTATTTGTACAATGTACATGTAAATATAAAATTTCAATTCTGTGAGTTGAATATTATATTTGGTATGGTTAAATTAAAAAGACTACTTTTTGTTTTAAAATTTTGCATTTTAAAGTTGACTTTTTGTCAAGAGAAGCTTTCATGCAAATTTTATAAAAACCTTGGTCATCTTAATTTATTTTAGGAAAAACAAATATTTTTATTTTGACAAACTTGATTCTAATCTGTTCAAAAATATGGTCATGCAAGTAAATTTTACTTACTGTGAAATATTAAATATATAAAGAAAAATAAAAGGAATGTTAAAGCCATTTTTTAAAAAAGTGCTAATTGAGTTCTTTCTGTTTCACACATTTGACTAAAGTTAATTTTTCTATCAGTGTTAAAATATTAAAAGTAAATCATAAATGTCTCTTTACCAGTATCAGGTTACTTATTAGTTGGACATTGATTTAATAATGTCATTTCAGATATTTATTAGGAAGCTGTTTTTGTGCTATTCTGTATCTTTGTGATGAATAGTTATTTTTATAAGCAGTATATGTAGAGATTTTACAAGTAATTATTATTTCATGTTACTGATTTCATACTTTACTTTCAATCTATTCAATTGAATCAGTTTCTTAATTTTTATTTTAATTCTCTCATCGTTATTTTTGAAAAGTAAGTAATTTGGATGTATTTTTTGAAGTATCATCTTTTTAACTATCTTGCCTATTATTGACCTAACTACAAGAGTAAGTGACTAAAGAAACTTTGTTATATCATTCTTGGATATTTTTTTATTGTAAGCATCATAAAGATGTTTTCAAGAATTCAATTTTTTTTTTTTTTTTTTTGTCAATGACCACCCCAAATTATTGATTCCTTTTATTTTCTTCTGAGCTTTCTTTGCCAAGGAATTAGTACTGTTTATCATCAACTGATTCACTTGAAACCTAATGTAATTGTTGGATACAAATTAATGAATATTAATATCCCATCCCCTTCTTGTTACAATTAGAACCCCAGTCAATAGATATGCAAAAATAATTGTTTTATATATCTTACTGCTAAGTTAAAAAAATTTATTATAGATTATTTAAGGTGTTTTTAGATACTGAGTATAAATGAAAATCTTAAGACTGGTTTATGTGTTGATTATTAAACTTTTTTCTTACCTACAGACATTGAATGTTTATTGTATCTATGCATATGAACACTGAACAGTCTTTTTTGCATATAAAATTTGTTTCCAAAGACAGTATTTTTTTACAAATTTTTTTTTTTTTTTTTTTTTGAAAAGTCAGTGTAGCTAATACATTAATTTTTTAAAATTTCTTATAACCTGACAGCTAAGGCTAATTTAGGTTGTTAGTATTTGTCATTTTGTTCTGTTATTAATATCAATATAGGAATTATATTGCAGATTTTACAAAAATAGTTGTCAAGGAGAGAGTGCTTGAAATTTGTTTTCTCTGTAAATAAGTTCTCCTTGGCTTTTGAACTGTACACCCTTTGTCTAAAGTTGTATTAAGTTATGCTTATAAATACTTTTGCTCTTGCCAATTGGTCTTCCTTTTCTTGCTCCTGTCAACATAATTCCAATTATTAGATGTATATACACTGTAGTCATCAGATTTTTATGATGCCAGCTCTACATCAATAATATTTTCGTTATCTGAAAGGTCACTTTTATATTATTTAAAATATTAATTAGTTTGATCAAAATGATGAATTTAAATTTAGTTCAGGTACTTTTTGTTAGCTTTAATCATTTTGACCAATTGTACTTTTCATATTAATGTAGATTTGGCATAATTTATCTGCCATCAAATCTTTCTACAAAAACTAATGGCAATATCATTTTCTAAATTATGTGAATGGTCATTTGACCTTTTCAAACAAGTAAATAGTGTAAGAGAAAATATTTTTTTATGATATTAAATATCAATTTAAAAACTTTATGAATTAGTTGCTATGAAATTCACTTTAAGAACCTGTGTAATTTTATTTCTTTTGTTCAGAGAGTTCTGATTTATCTCGTCTTGTAACATAAATGAACATGGAGTCTTCTCCAGAGATATGATGTTTGCTAAATATGTCAGCAACTAGCAAAGGGAGTTATAAATAATTACATTGAATTAAATAGTTATTAATGATTTTATTTTTTTATACATATCTTAAACTTTTATAAAGTATATTAAATAGAAATGTTAAAAATCACAAGAAATATTTGATATGGCTTCATCTTATAAATTGGTATATTTTTAAAAATCTCTCATATTTAAGCTACTACTTGATACTTATATCTTGAACTAGAAATTGTTGTTAATCTGCAGTTGTACATAAAATATCACATGTATATAAAACCATAGTCTGTACAGTCATTGAGAACTACATTCAGAAATAATCTTCTCTCTACTTTAGGCTAAGGTCAATGTCAGTGACACCCTGTCTAGAGTAACTATTCAAATAGTATTGATATTGTTATTAGATTTAGTATGAGCATATAACTGTATATTTAATATGGAAAATAATTCAAATTACATTTAAAATAACAAATTAGTTTCTTTTGATTAATGAAGCATATCTCCCATAGGGTAATTTGCATTTCAAATCAATAAGATCAACCCAAGATTCTTAATTATTGCTTATCTATGTTTTAATTTAGTAAAAATGGATCTCATGCTATCAGGTTACTAAATTTACTTGTACAAGCATTTACCATTTAATCTGTGAATTTATTTCCTTAGGCCATTATTATTGATTCCTAATTTTAATATGTATTTGTATCAGAGCAATTTATATTTCCTTTGTCTTGAAGCATGACTGACTTAGTGTAGATCGTGTCAGTTGATTCAATATTTAATTGCATGTTATTTGCACGTGCACTGCTCTTTTCACATGAAAATGTTCTATTCAGCAGCAGATTTTATAATTTCAGATGTTGGATTCTGTCATTGCTATTAGTGTAGATTATTTTATCTTCAAAATATTTTTTATATTTCAGTTAAGCATTGTGGTTTCATATTGTTTGATTTTTCTTTCTCTTTCAGCAACTATTTTTTAAAAAAATGAATCAATTTTAATTAGTCATTCTCCACTTGGAGACCCTGGGAACTAGAAAGCTTGTAAAATAATACTTAATCTATGAACTAAGAAATAAAAATACATAAAAAATAAACCTTAAAAAGTATATTTTGCTCCCAAAGTAGTACTTTTTATAATAGAATTCTCTGGTTATGTTACAAAGAGAAATATTTTAATCAAATGCTTAATAGCACAGAAATTTCAATAGTTCGTGCATAATTCATCATTTTTGTCGGCTAATTCTGAATATTTAGTATTTCTTCTTAAGGCTCTTGGTTCATAGTAATTTCAAATGACACTAGTGGCACTGATTATATTATCCCTGTTGATTGGAATATCTCTCTCCCTTGCTATATATATATATATATATATATATACTAGAATTTCAAGTTGAATTTCTTTTAAGGAGGCTATTATGTTTAGACATCACCAGCTTATTAGAATAGTACAATATATTTTCCCACAAAATAACTGGAAATCTATTTGAAATTCTTTATAAAGATTTTACCATGAATAAGTTGTATATTATAATTTGAAGATTTAACATTTAGTTAAATTGGGATAGGCTAGATTTTGTATGAAAATGTTAAGATATGGTACTTTTAGTATATTACAGGCTAACAGATATTTATTTACAAGTTAGACTTTTTACTGATTTAATGAAAAAAAATATATATATATATATATATATATATATATATATATATATATATATATATATATATATATATATATATATATATATAAGAATAGATCAACAAGTTTGTAACTTGCCAGTTATTAGCTGAATTTTAATCTGAACTTTTTACAGTATAATGTTTGATCTGTGATTAGTGGAGAAACATTGGGATATATGCATAGACACGGAAAGAGATTATAGTATTGAAAATGATAAATATTTGTAAAATAAATGTTTCGTTTTTTTTCATCATTAGGCTATAGACTTATTGATGAACTTAAATAATAATGTTATATATATTGAGGAACTTATAGGGACTGAAAACAGCAGAAACATGAAAAAGATATTTAGTTGTTAAGTATATTCCCTGATGAGTGGATGGAGTGATTGCTGAAGAGGCTGTCTATGAAACTCTACCTTTTTGTACTTACAATAACAAGTTTTAAAAATCTCTACATGATAATCTTTTGCATCTACTCTCCTTTACTGTTCATATGCAGTGTTCAATGATTTCTCTATTAGAAGTAAAACTAAACTGCAGAGTAATAGTATTTTGAAAATATGTGTACAGATTTCTCATGTTTATAAAGTTTACAATTCCTACATTAATAGTATATTTGTGCAAGGCTTTCTGTTTACACTCTTCTACCTTCTATTTGGTATCAAGTATTTTTTTCTTTTTTAATTGTAAATAATGTTTATAGTAAGCCAAATGATAACTAAATACAACTAAGCTTTCTCTGTTGTTTTGTATTTACAAAATCTGAAATATAATGTACCTGGTATAATCCCCTTTGTTACCCACTGTCAGGATTCTTACTCTACCAGTTAATCTTCCCTACCCATATTGTATTTAAGTTTTGATCTGTAGAAGACTTAGGTGAAGCTGGTTGAAATTTCCTCAGGAATGAATGGGGTGAGTTATAAAGAAAATAAAAGATAAGTAACTTTCTGGATAGACAATCAACTTCTTTGTAAAAACAACAAGTATATTTGATGCAGATTATAATTTTCAAACTAATTTTTCCCACTTTAGCAGTGCTGAAGTTTAATTACAGCTAGTTGATGATTTTTTTAGATTTGGCACAATTCATAACAACAATAATAATGCCCCATATTAATGACTGGTGGTCTGTTCAACAATCAGGAAAGTTTGGTCTTGAGTCTGCAAACCAGGTTGATCTCCAATACTTTCTCTAGATAATGAGTCTGCAAATAGATGATTTCTTATGTTTGAGAAAATCTTCAGTTGAATAATTTTTCTTGTGCAGTATCTTGCAAGGAATATTGAAGAGAGTAGTGATGTCAACTTGCAGTGTCTTCCCTGGCAACTGGCTAAGGGCCAGAATTGGTCTGCTTATATTGAGTTAATGCTGGGCTGGGATTAGCTTTGATTGGTTATCAAATATCTCAAATATCATTTTCTAAATTTGGCCTCTTTAAATCCCCTCCCAGGTTCTCATGTTTCCATTGGTAACTCACTGCCACTCTTAGTGTGTGTCCACACTGGCTAAGTTACCAACTACATCTTTCTGACCAATCAACATTATCTGATCAGATTAGAATTTCCCCAGCATCCAATTTCCTATCTGCCCATACAAAATTCAAACCAGTATATTTTCTATTTTCTTGGGAATTACTTTCCTTGAATGAAAAATTGATGATCAACAAACAATGATCCATCATTTTGTTCACAAAGAAATCTCTGTTTAGTATTTATCTATCCAGTTTCTTTCTTGTCTTTTCCAGTGAACTTTTCAATATCTAACAAAGTTATCAGAATGTACTCTTGGGCTGTTTCTATGGTTATCACCCACACTTTTTATTTTTAGAGCTAGTTTTGTTTTCTTTAGGCATACATTTTCTCCAAGTTTTCTGCCTTGAGTAAGCATCCTGATTCCTAGTTTGTTTCTTGTTAACACTTTAATTTCTGTTCAAATAGAAAAATAGACCTAAAGAACTTCTGGTCTTCTAGTAAAATTCAAATTATTTAGCTTGGCTATATAGGCCTTTCAAATTAACCAATTAAATTAACACCAATACCAGCAGCCACCAAGTGTGTAATTTATTTGTAAAATCTGTATCAGTATCTCTGCTAGGAAAGAAAAATTTGCATTTCATTGTATTTACAATCTTATTTTGTTGTAGGCACTTAATCAAGATTGAGTGTTTTGTATTGTTTTAATTAAAATTAAAAGGTAGATAAAACTGAATCTGGTATTTGTCTATATTTCTTGAATAAAGTGTAATGATGACTTAGAAGTTTACTGGAGTTACAAAAATGTAGAAGAATGTGTTCAGGTAAGCAAGAGTAGGTAGTGGTGAACTTTATAAAAAAAAATTATAATTTTTATATGAGCAATTTCACTGAGGTCCTTTCTGAATATGCACCATCTTTGCAGTGGACTTCCTGGTTACTAATATGAGGCATTATGATGTGTGTATTTTGTGCAGTAGGAAGTGACCTCTTCATTACTATCTCTGAGTTAGGGTTAGACAAGGCTTAATTATTACTAAATTTGATTCATCAGAACTGCCTCTTTTCTTTGTACTTCTATTAATATCTTCACTTGGCTGCTTTCAGCTTATAGGCTCAATAAAAATAAAAATGTTGTTGGGATGTTTACATGTTCATTCTTGGTTTAATGAACATGAACAATAAATCTATTGTAAAAATTTTCATGGAGTTTCTATATTCACCTCAAAAGCATTTGTTTTTAAGCACAACAATATCCTTTTAAATAGTGCATTTCACATGATTACTTGGTGTGTTTGATTTACTGAAGCTTTACAGTTTTGTTCTTTGTTTGCTCTGAAATATTGCTTTCGAATCAAATTAATAATGTAAGCTTGAAGCTTTTTATGGGTCTTCAAATTCTTATGATTAAGTCTGAAAATTATAAAGATAAGAATAGTGATTAATTTATTTTTTTTTATGGCAGTGGATAAATCTGAAGTTGAGTGGTTGGATATGGCTGGTAAGAGATGAATTATTTATTTCATTCAGATTTCTATGTAATCTCCAGATGATTAATAGGCAAGAAAGGCTTTATGTAGATGTAGCATTTCATAAATTCTAAATTTTTCCTGTATCTTAAGTTTACAAGTATAACAATTATTTAAAATTTTGCAAATTGTCAAAATTTATAAATTAAAAGAGAATAAAAATTAGCTTGTAAAACTGAATTACATGGTTAGATTAACCAATAAGAAAACTGAAATAGGAATGTTTTGATACAATATCTTTAGTATGAAACAGAGTATTAAATTAGTCTTCATATTTTTAAATTATCAAATATTCTTGAACTTAACACTGAATTCATGTTAAAAACAAGCAAGAAGTTTTCCAAATACATAACTAGAGAAAAATATACCTTAACATTTTTCTGTTGAATAAACATTCCCTCAAATTTCTCCAGAATTTAATATATATTTCATATGTCAGAATGTAGTTTTATTTTAAAAAGAAAAAACAAACTTTTGTTTAAGTCTTCCTTTCATGTTTGCATTAAAACATAATTGTTGCTCTTATCTTTGATTACTGATGAGGCAACCCATTGATTTCTTGTTCTTTATTGCTATTGACATTTGTTTTCAGAAGCAGAACTACACATTATCAAACGACCGTGGGAGCGCAACTGGAACTATATGGGTGAGGATGAGCACTGCTTTGTAGTCCCACCACCATTGCTGTGTGGCGGGCAACTGGCGCCCTGCTCTCAGGCTTCCACTGCTGGCTGCCTTTAGGCTACAATACCATTTGTAGATTTCACTGTTCCTTTCCCTTAAAACTTTTGCCAGTTATACTTTTTTCTTCTACCTCCAGCCTCTCTTTGACCAGACACACATGATTTTTTTGGATTAGCTAATCTTAAATAAAGTTCATATACCCACACACAGTTTTAATTATATGTTCATACATATTTCATCTTATCAAATATAAAATATCTCCTGACCTGTGACATGGGTTATTACCTTTTTGCTGCACTAACAAAATAAACCCTTTTGGATTTCTTTTTTTTTTTTTTTTTTTTTTAATCCTAAGTGCTGAGCACCAATCATTTACTGGAATTCTGGTCTTCCATCTGCTTTTTGCTCTCATTTGAACTGCTTTACTCTTGCCTTTCACCTTGTTCAGGTTTGATTGGTCTTGTTGGACTCTTTTTCTTCTGTTCATGCAAGTGGCAAAAACTGTGTGAATGATTTCAGCATATGAAATCTTTCCAAACACATTGAAGTATTCTTTGCACATTGCCTGCACAAAATTCAACTATTATTTTCCTCCCTCTTTGTTTTTTGCAATGTTTATCTCTGAACTTTAGAAAGTGGAGAAATGTGTACCTTATTTATTTTTCAGCAATTGTGCTTCTTGTGCATAGTTTCTATGTGTAGTCAAACTACCAGGTCATTTTATTCACTTTATCAAGGGAGTCAGTAATTCTTCTTAATTATTTAATGGAAATAAGCATGAAGTTAATTATAAACTTAATTGGATAAATTATTTGGGAAACTGATAAGGAAATTCTTTCTAGTAAACCATTTGCCTAGAATGTTATCAGCTAATATGTATTCTTGTGATAATCATATAATTTGTTTGTAAAATATTGTAGTTAGTTTTTGTGAACTAAACAATTATCCTATAATCATGTCAGATTATTTTCTCTTGGTTGATATTAATGAAAACAAATTAGTTCATATTTCAGCATAACCACTGTCTGTTTAATGAAGAAACACAATATTTTAAAGATGGTTCATTTTGTCATAGAGGGATTAAATAAATCTCTAAGGAATAAAGTTTAACCCTTTGATTTTTATATTTTCCTAGTTTTGTTTTCCTTTCAATTATTTGTAGACTATCTACTAGGATACAACAAAAATAATATATAAAAATAAAGACTGGTTACTGTGCTTTTTTAAATCATTTAGCCTATACAACAATATAAAAATGTTAATTCTTGAATGAATTAACATTTAATATTGTAGGATTGCACTTTTAGACAATAGAGCAATCTTCCTGGTAAGATAATTTCACTCTAGCAAATCTCTTACCTTCATCAATTGATAGCATGAAATATAATTATTTACCACAAAATCAGAATCTATTTTTATTTTAGAATGAGGGTCTCGCATAACCATACCTTTCCTTCTACCTCATTAGGATTTATATTTAATCTTATTTTATAGCAAAAGATGATAAATATATAGAGATCACATTTTTACATTTGTTTTCAGAAATTTAAACAAAAACTATCACAATAGTCAAATGGCTCTTTTATCATAAAAAGGAATACAATCTTTATTTTATAAATAAAAAAACCTGCAATCTTATTGATCCTATATTTATTGAGAAGCTCTTTCTCAACAAATGATTTCATTTTAGTTTTTAAAATACATATAAGATGGTACTTAAATTAAAAGTTTTTTTTTAATGTTTCTTGGTCAGGCCAGTTGACTCATACTGACTGTAACATTAATCATCCAATTTTTCATAAGTGATTTAACAATTTTTCCTTTTTCAATTTTCATTGTTCAATCATAATACAGATGGTGTTACAAAGATGATTCATTATTGAATTGAGAAACTTTAAAAATTAAAGTTGTCAAAACATCTAAGGTGTTATATTCCCAAATCTAGTAAGTAGTATTTTTATTGAACACCTAATTTATATTTGAAGTATTTGTAGCATCTTACAGTTTGGCAATGTTCATGTCCTTTTTCAGTCATTAACTGGAGGATGATATCCAAAGATAAACTACTCTACTTTGATTGAGGAGTTAGCAAATTTCTTGCTTGTAACCAAGCAGATATTTTCAAAACACATAATATGAATTGCTACTAATATTTTATTACCAGGTCATATATGATAATGTTATCATCAAACTGTGCTTTTAATAATTTATTTTAATCATCCATTGGCTTATAGAATTAAATTGTAGTAAGATATTTATTTTTCATTATTCTTAATCGTTCTCTTATAACTAAGAAATACATGAGAAGGTCAAAAGGTCAAGCTATAGGAAAGTTTGTGTTATTTTTTTCTTTCATTAAAAAAAAATATATTAAAAGTGAGTGGCATAATTTTTTAGTAAAACTAGTAAAATGATTTCAATTTTGTTTGTAGATTTTAAAACTTCAAACCAATAATTTTTTATCCAAAATCTATTAAGAACATTCCACAGAATCATTTTTACTTTAAAAAAAATGTATTTTCCCTGGACATCATGACCTCTTACTTTAATCAACAATGGATGATCTATAAGATTGGGATATTTGTTAGTGATTGGTGATAAAAATTGATCATGTTTAAAGCTTTTGCTGCTGTCTCATTTGAAATTTAGTAAATACCTCTTACTATAAATATTGGCTGATACTGTTAAATGCTTTTATAGTGATAAATTATTTAATTAGATCTCTTTGGTAATCCTCGGATCTTGACTTCTTCAATGACTTTTATCTACTTTGTACAAGAATAATGGTACTTTTAGTGGAGTTTATTGATTATTCAAATTCTTATAAACTTTTTTTTTCTTTTTATTAATTAAAAGATCATGGGATCAGTTATGACAGCAAGCAGAAGATACAGATCTTTTTGTTCATGTAAAAAAAAAAATATATATATATATATATATTAGATTTTTGGTATTGTTTATTCAATTTATCATTTGTAATTTATAATAATAGTCATACTGTTATTTCATTGACCTATGTAGTAAATATTAATATTCTGTTGTGGTCATTATAATTTATTTTGAAAAAATATTTCTGCTAATCATGTCTAGTACTGCATTATATAAAGCAGGGGTCAGCAAACTTTTGCTATGTACTGACTTAGGGGTTTAAAATCATTCAGTGTGCCAACAGCATACATATTTTTATACAAGTCAAGGTCAATATACCTGTTCTACAATATATTTTAAATAGTAATATATAGTATATATACTTTAGTATATTAAAATTGAAACAGCTAAATATCTTTTTTGCATTGTAGTAGTTATTGTTTTTGACTTCATGATGTCATTTGGCAGGACTAATATTTTGCTTGGTGAAAATAATCACCTACAGAGTGCTAAAAATTAAAATATTGACATCTTATTGAAAATAGTAATTTCTTTTTAATAAAATGTTCTTATTCAAATCTGTATATTTATAATCCTATTTGTATAACTTACTTCTGGAAACAAAAGATTGTGTAGTTAGAACAAACTTCTACTGTATGTTATTGTTCCCCTACTTTGTATGCAGTATGGTTCATGTCTGAGATTAATAGTGCTTTCTATAAAAGCACCTACTTTACATTAGTTATTGACTCTGTTGTTCTTTACATCATTATAGATTGCAAGTAAATGAGCCACAATTAATCTATGAGAGAGTATATCTCATAATTTTGTCCTAAGTGATCAGGTTTTCCTGTGCAGGTCAAAATTATTATTTTATACTTTCCACCATTTTTATTAAGGGTAAACTACACAAATTATCTTTTCCTTAGTTTCTTAAGGCTTATGCTTTTATCAATATCTTTAATTATTTCTTTCTCTATTATTCATGGCATTCATACCAATTTCTGCAGTAGAATTGTTTCTCTTGGACATTTTCTAGATATCCTAGCCCTCTACAAAACTAATCTGAACTCTTCAATCTCTTCCACTGAATTCTCTGTTCCTGGCTATCATCCTCTCTTTCAAAATGACTCCACTGTCCACATTGTATGGTCTTGGTCTCTATTCACAAACCTCTCCCACCGGAGTCCCTGGATTGTTCTTATGTGTTTCTAATTTTCATTATTAAACTTGGTTAGTTATCTCTTCTTCTTTTAGCATTCCCCTCACTCTCGTGATGAGTAACAAGTTTGATTGTAACAGACATCTCTTTGTCATTCTCCTAATGAGTGTAAGTGTATCCTCAAAGAGGCAAAGTCACTATTTGCTGATAGAATGAGACACCATATATCCCCTCACAAGTTTGATTCTAGAGATAATTGGCAGCTCTACAAGAGTGTGCTGAACAAAAGTAAATCGTTAGTCCCTCCTCTTTTCAATCAATTTGATGTGTTGACATCTACTACAGACAAAGCAGAGTGCTTTGCTCAGAAATTATCTTCCAATTCCACTCTCAACTCATCTAGAGTATCTCTGTCTGATTTTCCTCCTAGAATAGTCTCTAATGAGTGATATGCACATAACTCTGACCCTGGTTTATGCTATCATTTCTAAGCTAGATAAAACATAATGCTTGCAAATTTCACAGTAACCCTGCAATTGTTCTAAAGAAATGTGCTCCTGAACTGGCTCTTTTTCTCTTCAAACTTTGATAAATGCCTTGCTGCTTCCTTGCTTTCCAGCTTGTAGGAAGTCCTCCTCTGTAGTTCCTGTTTTTAAGATCTCTGGAGAACATTCTGACCACTCAAATGATTGCTCTATTAGTTTCTTAGCTCTTTTTGGTAAAGTACTAGTGGCTCTAATTAACACCTAATTGGTTAGCATCTTACTTCATATGGCCTCTTTTTGGATAAAAAATATGGCTTTTGTTTCACCAAGTCTACCACTGATGTCTCAATGGCCATCTCTATTTGTCTTTCAAGCTTTAGATAAGAATGGTAAAGCTTGGGCTGTGACTCCTCTCAAAGGTGTTCAACAAGGTTTGGCATGCTGGCC